GAGAAAATCAAAAAGATAGGCAAAACTTTATCCAAATTAACAAAAAAGCAGAGAGAGAACATGCAAATTAACAAAATCAGAAATGAAAGAGGGAACATAACAACGGACACAGAGGAAATCAAGACAATTTTCAGGTCATACTTTGAAAATCTGTATTCCACAAAAATTGAAAATTAAAAGGAAATGGACAAATTTCTGGATAACTATCACTTACCAAAATTAAATCAAGAACAGACAAAGAACTTAAATAGACCTATAACCCGCAATGAAATAGAAGCAGTCATTGAAAGCCTTCAATCAAAAAAAGCCCAGGGCCAGATGGCTTCAGTGCAGAATTGTATCAGACATTCAAGGAAGAACTAATGCCACTGCTCCTCAAACTGTTCCACAAAATAGAAACAGAAGGTTCACTGCCAAACTCTTTTTACTCAAGCCTCACAAAGACACAACTAAGAAAGGAAACTACAGACCAATATCCCTGATGAACATCGATGCAAAAATACTCAATAAAATACTGGCAAACCAAATTCAAGAATACATCAGAGAAATCATCCACCATGACCAAGTAGGCTTCATCCCTGGATTGGAGGGATGGTTTAACATACAAAAATCTATCAACAGGATCCACCATATAAACAAACAGAAAAAGAAAATCCATATGATTATCTCCCTATATGCTGAAAAAGCCTTCGACAAAATTCAACACCCTTTCATGATAAAGGTCTTGGAGAGATCAGGGATAACAGGAACATACCTAAACATAATAAGAGCAATCAATATACAGCAAACCAACTGCCAACATCAAACTGAATGGAGAGAAAGTTAAGCTGATTCCTCTAAAATCAGGAACAAGACAAGGCTGCCCTCTCTCTCCATATCTCTTCAATATCGTACTTGAAGTTCTAGCTAAAGCTATAAGACAACAAAAGGAGATCAAGGGGATACAAATTGGAAAGGAAGAAGTCAAACTGTCTCTATTTGCAGATGATATGATAGTTTACATAAGTGACCTAATAAACTCTACCAGGGAAGTCCTATAGCTGATAAACACCTTCAGCAAACCAGCAGGATACAAGATAAACTCAAGAAAATCAGTGGCCTTACTTTATTCATACGACAAAGAGGCAGAGAAAGAAATCAGAGAAACATCACCCTTTACAATAGCCACAGCAACATAAAGTATTTTGGGGTAACGCTTACCAAACAAGTAAAAGATGTATATAATAAGAACGTTGTGGTTCCAAAGAAAGAAATTATTAAAGACAATACTATAAAATGGAAAGATCTCCCATGCTCTTAGATAGGTAGGATAAAAATAGTAAAAATGGCAATCTTGCCAAAAGTAATCTACAGATTCAATGCAATTAAAATCCCAGCACAATTCTTCACTGACCTTGAAAGGATAATAATAAACTTCATATGGAAAAACAAAAGACCCAGGATAGCCAAAACAACCCTGTACAATAAAAGAACTTCAGGAGGTATCACCATTCCTGACTTCAACCTCTACTACAGAGCTATAGTTCTGAAAACAGCCTGGTATTGGCACAAAAATAGCCAGGTAGACCAATGTAATCAAATAGAAAATCCTGATATTAACTCACACACCTATGAACACCTGATTTTTGACAAAAAGCTAAAAGAATACAATAGGGTGAGGAATGCATCTTGAACAAACAGTGCTGGCACAATTGGATGATGGTGTGTAGAAGACTGCAGATAGACCCATGCCTGTTGCCGTGCACAAAACCAAGTCCAAATGGATCAAAGAACTCAACATCAATCCAGTCACACTGAACCTCCTAGAAGAGAAAGTGGGAGGTACCCTTGAACAAATTGGTATAGGAGACTGCTTCCTGAACATAATTCCAGGGGCACAGACACTGAGAGAAACAATTAATAAGTGGGACCTCTTCAAACTTAGAAGCTCCTGTAAGGCAAAGTGGACAAGACCAAACGGCAGCCCACAGACTGGGAAAAGATTTTCACCAATCCTATATCTGACAAAGGGCTGATCTCCAAAATATACAAAGAACTCAAGACACTGGTCAATAAAACACCAAATAACCCTATTAAAAAATGGGGTACAGAACTGAAGAAAGAATTCTCAATAGAGGAAATCAAAAAGGCTGAAAGACACTTAAGAAAGTGCTCAACATCCTTAGCTATCAGGGAAATGCAAATCAAAACAACTTTGAGATACCATCTTACTCCTGCCAGAAGGGCTAAAATTAGAAACACCAATGAGGACTCATGCTGGAGAAGATGTGGAGAAAGGGGAACACTCCTCCACTGCTGGTGGGAGTGCAAACTCATACAGCCATTTTGGAGATCAGTATGGCAGTTCCTCAGGAAAATGGGAATTAGTTTACCACAGGACCCGGCAATCCCCCTCTTAGGCATATACCCAAAGGATCCACATCCATGCAACAAAGACATCTGTTCAACTATGTTCATAGCAGCACTATTTGTAATAGCAAGAACCTGGAAGCAACCTAGATGCCCCTCAATTGAAGAATGGATAATGAAGATGTGGCACATCTACACAATGGAATACTACTCTGCAGAATAAAATAATGGTATCTTGAAATTCGCAGGCAAGTGGATGGCATTTGAAGAAACCATCCTGAATGAGGTAACCCAGTCACATAAAGAGGAACATAGTATGTACTCCCTCATATATGGAATTTAGACCTAGAGCAAAGGATCACCAGCCTATAATTCACACCACCAGAGGAACTAGGATACAAGGTGTATTCTAAGAGATTCATATAAAGTCCCTCATAGAACCGGGAAGGGACAAGTTCCCCAGAACACAGGGGAGATGGGGGGGCAGTGAATTGAGAGAGAAGTAGGAGAAAACGAGGGGGAGGAAAAGAAAACATGTGTGACCAGGAAGATTGAGCCCGGTTAGGAATAGAAGACAGGAGAGAGAGATACAGAGAGAGAGAGAGAACATAAAAGAGAGAGCCAAAATTGGTTTGAAGGTAAAATTGAACACAAAGAAAGGTCTAGAGACCTACAAGACTGCCGCCAACTAACAATTTCAGCTTCCATGGAAAGGCTACCATAAATGCCCTTCCCGGATAGTGAGATCAACAACTAACTTATCCATGGAGCCCTCATACCTGTTGGAAACAGGAGCAAACACCCATACATAAACACTGAGTCGAAGTAGAACCCAGATGCAGATGAAGAGGACAAGACCAGGCTGCAGAAACACATCGAGACAGCTTACCTGAACAAGGAGGAGCTAATGGGCCACCAGACTGATAGCTGGGAAGCCAGCATGGGATTAACTCAGGCCCCCTGAATATGGGTCTCAGCCAGAAGGACTGAGCAGTCTAAGGGACCTCAGACAGTGGAGCCAGGATGTATCCCTGGTGCACAAAAGGACCTTGCGAACACATCCCCTATGGAGGGATAACTGCCTTAACCTGGAGACAGGAGAGAAGCCCTAGTCCCTACTTCACATGACCTGTCAGATCTACATGACCCCAACTGGATGGCATTCCCCTACATATGGAATTGGGGTGGGGGGATGGGAGGGGAGGGTGGTTAGAGTGCATGTGAGAGGGCAGAGAGGGTAAAAGGGAGGGAAGGAGGAAGGGAGGGTGAGGGAACTGGGATCGACATGTAAAATAAGAAATTAAAGAAAAAATGCTCTGACTCCAAAATTTAAGTTCAAGGACAAGTTACTGGGGAAAAGGATTTCTATTTTTGTTTCCACAGAAAATGAAAAGCTGTGGATTCATTCTAGACTAATGTGGTTTCATCAAGCCAGACCACCTGAAACAGAGTACCAGGTGACCCTACATTCAAAACAGCTGGACAAAGCAGCCTTACAGACTACAGCCAGGATTTCTGCATCTCCTTAGAATCCCCCATGACAGCGCCCCTTACCAGCAGGAAGTAGTTTGGAAAGAATGACGCCCAAATTCTCAAATATTGTCTATAAATGTTTGTTTTCATTTAAATTGACTTGGTTATAAAAAAAAAAGAAGAAGAAGAGTGAATACTGCTCTTGAAGAGGACCTGAATTCAGTTCCTAGATCTCTTGTCGACTACTCAACTTTAACTCCAGGAAATTCCACACTGTTTCTTCTCTACAGGTACCTGTGCTCGCATACACACACACACACACACACACACACACACACACACACACACACACACACACACAGAGGCATGCACATACATACATATAATTTTAAAAATAACTAATAAAATTGAGGAAAACCAAAAAAAAAAAAACTCGGTAACCTTGTATTCACATAACTCAGTCATCTTATAGTATCAGAAAGCTAGCTTGAAAGACTTCTGTGCTTTTTCCCTTTGTATAATTTTAAAACATAAACCAACAGAACTCTTCATTAAAGCATATGAAGTATGTGGCTACAGTTCATTTCTACTATTTTTCTTTTTCCCTTCCTTTTTTTACACATCTACTATTCCTTTAATTTCTATTGTGTCTCTTACTAATTGTCTGGGTAGTAACTTCAGTACCTTAAGGCCTTTGTCAGACTACAGGTGGCCCTCAGAACAAAGCTCATGCAGTCCTGATAGTGATTAACTAATTAGCTTCACTGATCTAGTGCCATTTGATTGATTGATTGATTGACTGCTTGATGATAGCCTTAGATAGGTTATCTGGCCTGGAACTTGCTATGATGTCAAGGATGACTGAATTTCTGATTCTTCTGCCTCCATCTCCCTGGGTGCTGGGGTTACAACATGTACCAATACCCATGGTTTATGTGGTGCTGGAGTGTGAATCCTGGGATTTGGGTATACTACAGCTCCAACCTGGCAGTATCACTTTCTTTCTGGTCCACTCTAACTAAAAACAACATAGTTTACTAAAACTTGCTTAACAAAACAGTATTGTAAATTCATTACAATTTAAGTTTAAATTTTCACCATTTTAAAATAAAAGCATTTTCATACATTGATAATGTTTTGGATAGCCAATACGGCATCCATTCAAGGTTCTATTGTTTTGGTTTTGTTGTGGTGGTTTTAATTAAGGAAGGAAAACAGGTTAGCATTCTGTTTCAGTGTTTCTTTTCTCTTGCTCGGCATTTTGTTCCTCTGGTGCAACTAACATGACTGCTAAGTTGCTGGTGCTGCTCGCATGTGCCGCCTTGTCTAGTTTGCTAGGAGTGGGTTGAGCACTCCTAGGATGGCCATGCAAACTTCTTGACCGCAGACAGGGGAATCCTAACGTCTGGTGAGGCTTCACAGATAGTAAGTTTTCCTTTTCAGTTCTGTCAGTGGCAACCCTGAGGGCTGAACAGGAGATCTGAGGAGCCAGGACAGAAGCACTGAGCTCATCTTCAAGCTCATCTTGCATGGCTGCTTCTGACACAATGTATGGGATGTCTGTGCTGCGAGAGCGTGTGATCCTTTGAACCTGGCATTTCCATTCTGCTGAGTGGAAGTTCCATGCTTGGTCCATGATTGAACTGTACTCGGAACCCCAGTTGCTAAGACCCCGGACCAGTTTTCTGCCCTCAGAATAGACGAAGCTTCTGGACTTCATTGTTTTGTAGGCATTGGGGTCTCCTGGGTAGTAGCGTGCAAGTTTGTTCTCCTGCAGCTGGTGGGACATGGTGCTTTCCACGGTCAGCTGAGTGCCTGCAACACCTGCTGCGTTCAAATTCAGTGCAGCTTCTGAGCTCTTAATGTCTGCCCGCAGGTCGAGCTCACCTGCTGAGACGCTGGGTTCCTGTCCTGGTCTGGACTCTGAACTCATGGGGCCCTCTAGGGCAAGCCGGCTGCGGCCTGGTGTGGCAGGCGGGCTGGGACCAGGGGTGTGGTGCAGGCTTCCTGGCCCTTCCAGGTGCGACGACTTTGCATCCTCTTCCTTCACACGGAAGGAACAGGTTTTTTTCCGGAGCGCTGTCCCTGACAACGTGGAGAGAGCAGGCTCCTCAAACAGAAGCTCCTCGCCATTGAAATGGTAGCGGTACATGCTATAGCCATCTGCACTGTTGATGCTGCTTTGCCTCAGCAGGTAGGTGGCCTCGCATTCTGAGGATGCCCGCGACCTAGCCTGGATCAGATCAGACCTGTCAATGCCTGCCAGATTCTCCAGAGCGCTCACCATCCTGCCAGACAACTCTTCCAGCTGAGAGAGACGAAGGTCAACAGTCTGCAGAGATGTCTTCATGAAATTTTCTCTTTCATTGATTTCCTCCAACCTCATTGACATATTTTCAACTCTGGCAAATACAAAAGGATAGATTTATTAAATTGAGATTAATTCAATATTAAAAACAGCATAATAATGTTGTCGCCTTATGAGCCTCCAGGCTTTGATCGCCGGCCTTGTTTGTGCATGTTGCCTACCCCAGTACAAGCCCTCACTCAAATTATGAGAAGTATTAGGAAATATCAGTTGGCTTATAGTGTTTACTGTATGCCAGGTATTCTGTTAGGGTGGTGTGTGCTCACTTAGTGCTGGTCTAGACATACTTAATTCCCATCACTGCCCTATGAGGTAAGCACTGTTACTGTCATCCTTACTTTACAGAAAGGAAATTAGGCCACAGAAAGTGTAAGTAATTCACCAGGGGTCACAGCTAAGAAGCCCAGGGCATGCGATTTGAGCACACAATGTTTGCTTCTGCCGTTGCCTCTCAGCTGTCATTGCTTCTCACCGCCTTAGGAATGAAGAAAGGTACCCTGATGGCTTTTGGATAGCTGGCTGCTTTGGATCAGGGAAACTTTCAAGCACCTAGAGCCTTACTGAGAACACCTTTGGAAGCACCTGTGAGGGCATTTCAGAGAGGAGTAATTGAGGGGGAATACTTGCTGTGGGTAGCACCATCCCACAGGCTGGGGTTCCCGCTAAATGAAAAGAGGAAAGGTCACAGCAGCAGTACACCGATGTGCCATGCAGGCATCACCTTTCTCTGCTTCTTGATCCCCCAGATGTCAGTGAGTCCCCATCCACATGACACAAGCCAGCTGCTGAGTCTCCCTGCCATGGTGGGCTATACCCCAAACTGTGAGCTAAAATAAATCCCTCCTCTTTTAAGTCACTTCTACAAATACAGGACAACCTCTGTAGCTGCCAGAGACTGGTTCCAGGACCCTCATGGGGGTCAGTCAGGGCGCTCATGGGTGTCAGAATCCATTCAATGTTCAAGTCCCTTTAAAATGGCACACTAACTGCATAAAACCTGCCCACATCCTCCCATATACTCTAGGTCACCTCAAAATGATTTATAATGCTTAATGCAATGTAAATGCTGTATAAGAATGTGTTCCATTGTATTATCTAGGCAATAATAATAAGAAAAGTTGGTGCATGTTCAGTATAGAGGGAATTTTAAAAATGCTTCTTTAAAACGTATTATATTTACTTATTATTATTTATGGTGTGTGTGGTGGTGGTGGTGGTAGTGTGTGTGTGTGTGTGTGCACTCCAGTGCCTGTGCCATGGAGTAGGGGAGGGTGAATGTTCCACAGTACATGTGTGGAGGCCAAAGGACAACTTGAAGGATTGGTTCTCTACCAGGTGGTTCTCAGAGATCAAATTTAGATGGTTGGGCCTGATGACAAGGACTTTTACCCAATGAGCCATCTTGTCTACCTTTAGAATATATTTTCAGTCTGCGGTTGTTGCATCCACAGATGCAAAACCCACAGGTCCAGAAGGACAAATGTTAGTAATAGTTATTCTTGATAGTTTTGCTATGGCTATCAACAATAAATGGGTCACAACAAAATAAATAAATAAAAATTTTTATTGAATGTTCAAGGGACTTAAAATGAATTTTAATAGGTAAGTGCAGATTGGCATATAATTTACTTGAAGGACAATGGGTCATTAAATTGTCTGCATACCAGATTATTGTTTATACTTAATATTCTCTTAGTGAGATTCTGTAAGAAAGGATAATGGCAAATTATAAATATCTGGTATTAGATAACTTAAAAAAAATCTCCTACATCATCAAGCAACAGCTTTATGAAACTGTTAATACTGCTTGGATTGAAACCTGATAGAAAACCTTGTTTTATATTTCAGTATATAAATGTGGATAGGTTCATGACATATAACTCTAGGAGGCAATGAGGTATGCCCGGGATTTTGGACTACCTTCTAAAAGTTGAATTTGTTCCAGGGATGAGTTGGGAGCTTTGGCTCCAGGGTACAGCAATGGCATGTCCAGGCAGGCTCCTCCCTATGTGATGGCAAACACCTTGGTACAATGCCACCATGCTTTGATTTTTCTCCCAACTTTCTTAAAAGAAAATGTGTGGTTTCCATAGTAAGTTTGCTTGCAATGCAATCTGTTCATAGGTCTTTGGTGTCCTTGCTACATGCCATCATAAACCCCTCTCTGTTGTGTCAACTTTCCTCATCCCACACTGTAAGAGTCTGCCCTTCCTTCTTCTCTTGTCATCTGGTTGACGCCTTTCTTGCACTACCACCTCTGCTCACACTGAACATCTGGTGTGCCACACACAACCTGTCAATGCACTAGCAAGCTTGCCTGGCCTTTGCCTAGAGTTGCCTACATTGACAGCTGTACTCTGCTGTATGGCAGGGTCCTGGCGTCAATTATTAACTCTTCTTTTTGGAGAGAGAACTTTATTGGCTACATCACTATTTCCATGCCCCTTGATTGGCTACATCATTTGAGGAGGGAGTGTCTGGCTTCTTGGAAGCTTGTCACAAAGCAGAACCAAGTCCATTGTGGGTAAGAAGACCTGGTTGCCACATGGTATAGCCCCCTGCCCCACCTCCATCTCTCTCAACCAGTCCAGTCCTGAGGATTTCTTTACTCTTGCCCATCAGGGATGTGCAGAAGAATCACACTGAAGACTTTCTATTACTTTTGAAGAATGCTTGGAATTCATTATTAAATATGCTCCTTGCTCTTCTCAACCTACTAACTCTAATGATTCCTTTTGTATTCAAACCACAATGCTTGTGAAACAGGTGAACTTGAAATCTTTTAACAAACATCACAGTAAAAGATAATGCAGCTGTGCACACATTTAAATAGAAACAAACTGCTATAGAGATAGGCATCTCTCCTCTGACATCTTCTATAATTATCTGCCCCTCTATATTAACCAATTCAGAATGCAGATACCAGAAGAAAGAACCCTCAAAGTCATTCTCCTTTTTCTTCTTATTCTCTGCTTACCTCTCCAACCTTCCTGTTCCACTGCATTGACTCTTGGTCTTGGTCTCTGGGAGGGATCCCATTTTGGCCTCCCAAATGTTTGTAATCCAACAGAGGCCGGGATATACTGCCTGGTTAGAACCTGTAAACTGTCGCCACTCGGATAAAGCCAAATTTTAATCACTGTGCCTGACTGAAGGAGGTTGACCTCAGGTGTTTGTTTTTTTGCCTTTTCTCCCCATGTTAAAATTTCATAGTATATATGCAAAAAGGAGGGAAATGGGCTGACTTCATTTACTTTTGAAATGATTAGTGGGGATAATAAATTGTGTTTTAGTTAATCTTCCATTGCTGTGACAAAATATCATGCCAAGGCAACTTAAATAAGGAAGTGTGTAATTTGGCTTATAGTTTCAGAAGGTTAGAGACCATGCTGGGGGAGCAAAGGAACAATGAGAGATCAAATCCTGATTCACAACCAAGAGGCAGAGAGAGAACTGACTGAGAATGGCGGGGCCTTTTGCAACCTCAAAGGCCACTCCCAGTGACACACCTCCTCCAACAAGGCCACACCTCCTAATCCTTCCTATATAATTCCACCAACTGGAGACCGAGTACTCCAATAAATGAGCCTATAGGGGTCAGTCTCATTCCAAGCACACATTTCACTCCCTGACCCCAATAGGCTTGCAGACATACTTAATGCAAAAAGCATTTAGTTCAACTTTAAATGTCTTCATACTCTTTTATAGCCTCAACAGTTTCGAAGTCCAAAGCCTTTTCTGAGACACAAAGAATCTATGAATTGTAGCCCGCTGTAAAGTCAATGAGCAATGGCACAGATATATATTACCATTCCAAATGGGAAGAATGGGGAACTACTGAGTAAATACTGGACTAAAGCAAAGCCAAACCCCAGCAGGGCAAACTTTAACTCCTATAGCTCCACATCTGATGTCAAAGGGCTTAGATGGCTCCCCTTACCCCAAGCTTTGTGCCTGCAACACACTTCTCTCCCTGTTTGCAGCTCTACTTGGCAGGTCTTCCCTGGCCCTGGCTTCTGCAGCGTCCCGGTGTTTCTAACACAATCCAGGCTCCACCTTCACAGTTCCATGCAATGGCCTCTCGGTGCCTCCATGCACAGAATCCCGTCACACACATAGCCTCAATGGTTCAACTTCACCACAGATAGAAGATTCCAAAACACCTATATTTGTGTATCCCTCATAATTCTAAAGCCAGACCACATGGATGACACCACCAAATTTGACTATTAGCTTGGGATGAATCCAGGCACTACTGAGTAGTACTTGTAGCAGCTTTGATTTTGTTGCTTTCTATGGGCAGAAAATTCCTTAAGCATCTACAAGTTGGAAGTTTAGTCATGTGGGGTCTTGCCCTGAGGGCACCCTTCCCCCTATTTCATTTCTGATCATATACTGCTCGCTCTTTAATCTTCTCATTTCTTTCAGCACAAGCCTTAGCTACAATAATGATGAATTTAACAATATGGAACTTCTGGACAATATGTGGAGCTTTTGTAGTAATTTCTATGGTATTACCTATGCAAGGTCTAATTCTGTTGGATTTTTCATGGAGTCTCATCTGTTATTGTAAGTATGACCTTCATCTTCACATGGAGAGACCCTGTGTGTCTTTTTTTTTTTTTTTTTGAAGGAAGGGACCTAGATATGTGTAACTCACCCTAAGACAGTTATTAAGACACACTTTTCATGCAACTACCTTTCCAGGTGGAACAGTCACCTTTTACCTACATGGCGCCTCATAAATTACACAGAACATTTCCATAATGACAGAGTTAAATATTCACATCAAAACTTGATGTTAGTGAAGTTAGGTCCAGTTCATTCTTGTATAAACCCATGTTTCAAGATCCTGCGGTATTCTACACTTGAGTTCTAAGACTGCTCCTACTCTATAATTTTATTCCAGATCCATAGATCATAAAGTTGTCTAATCCACCCTAAATTTTACATCAGGCAATTTTAATTTCCAGTTACTTCCTTTCATTGGACTGTATTTAAGGGTAGTAATTACAGGGAGAACACCCAAGGCTG